CCTAAACCCTAAACCCTAAACCCTAAACCCTAAACCCTAAACCCTAAACCCTAAACCCTAAACCCTAAACCCTAAACCCTAAACCCTAAACCCTAAACCCTAAACCCTAAACCCTAAACCCTAAACCCTAAACCCTAAACCCTAAACCCTAAACCCTAAACCCTAAACCCTAAACCCTAAACCCTAAACCCTAAACCCTAAACCCTAAACCCTAAACCCTAAACCCTAAACCCTAAACCCTAAACCCTAAACCCTAAACCCTAAACCCTAAACCCTAAACCCTAAACCCTAAACCCTAAACCCTAAACCCTAAACCCTAAACCCTAAACCCTAAACCCTAAACCCTAAACCCTAAACCCTAAACCCTAAACCCTAAACCCTAAACCCTAAACCCTAAACCCTAAACCCTAAACCCTAAACCCTAAACCCTAAACCCTAAACCCTAACCCCTAAACCCTAACCCCTAACCCCTAACCCTAAACCCTAAACCCTAAACCCTAAACCCTAACCCCTAACCCCTAACCCCTAACCCCTAAACCACCCTAAACCACCCTAAACCCCAAACCCTAAACCCTAAACCCTAAACCCTAAACCCTAAACCCTAAACCACCCTAAACCCTAAACCCTGACCCCTAACCCCTGACCCCTGACCCCTGACCCCTGACCCCTGACCCCTGACCCCTAACCCCGAACCCCTAACCCCTCACCCCAAACCCCAAACCCCAAACCCGAAACCCGAAACCCGAAACCCCAAACCCCAAACCCCAAACCCGATCCCCGAACCCCGAACCCGGAACCCTGAACACCGAACCCGGAACCCCGAACCCGGAACCCCATACCCCTAACCCCTAACCCCTAACCCCTAACCCCTAACCCTTAACCCCTAACCCTAAACCCTAAACCACCCTAAACCCTAAACCCTAAACCCTACACCCTAAACCCTGACCCCTGACCCGATCCCCGAACCCCGAACCCGGAACCCCGAACACCGAATCCGGAACCCCGAACCCGGAACCCCATACCCCTAACCCCTAACCCCTAACCCCTAACCCCTAACCCTTAACCCCTAACCCTAAACCCTAAACCACCCTAAACCCTAAACCCTAAACCCTACACCCTAAACCCTGACCCCTGACCCCTGACCCCTGACCCCTGACCCCTGACCCCTGACCCTTGACCCCTGACCCCTGACCCCTGACCCCTAACCCCGAACCCCAAACCCCGAACCCCAAACCCGAAACCCCAAACCCCAAACCCTAAACCCCAAACCCCAAACCCGATCCCCAAACCCCGAACCCCGAACCCCGAACCCCGAACCCCGAACCCCGAACCCGGAACCCGGAACCCCGAACCCGGAACCCTGAACCCCGAACTTGGAACCCCATACCCCTAACCCTTAACCCCTAACCCCTAACCCCAAACCCCAAACCCCAAACCCCAAACCCCAAACCTGAAACCCTAAACCCCAAACCCCCAACCCTGAACCCCGAACCCCGAATCCCAAACCCTAAACCTTGGACCCTAAACCCTAAACCTTAAACCCTTAACCATAAACCCTAAACCCTAAACCCTAAGCCCTAAACCCTAAACCCTAATCCCTAAACCCTAATCCTTAAACCCTAATCCCTAAACCCTAAACCCTAATCCCTAATCCCTAATCCCTAAACCCTGATCCCTAAACCCTAAACCCTAAACCCTAAACGCTAAAACCTAAACCCTAAACCCTAAACTTATGCTTTTGATATAGTAATATCAAGCCTGATCGTAGGGATGAAGTTAAAATTGCCTGTCAGTTGCAACATTAACAGTTACCAACTGCCATTACTAACAATTTTAAAAGCTCACGATCAAAATATGAACACTCAAAGACACATAATAACTTAATTTCGAATAAATCAAAATCGTTTAGTACAAATTCAAATATTTTATCCCTATTGATGACCGTGATTGTTGGAACATATTGTTTTGTTGATGACAAACGACTAGTGTTACTTTTGGTCTATAAGTGATTGCAGGGAAGAAAGATAAGTTATGCTTTGGAGCAAGCCGTAGATCTGAACCCGGAACTATCCTACAACGGACATATATGTTTTGTTGATAACTAACCATGCAGGAACAAAGACTAGGACTACTCTTAGTTCTGATTAAGTCATTTATGACTACGTAATTAGAATATGATGCCTGCATAATTCACGTAACATTATTTGAATTGTGGTCGCATATATTGACTTTTATATGGAAGGAATCCTCGGTGACCATAGCATAATCTGTACTCCTTTATTTGAAAAGTCATCATTAGGTAAAAGACTAATTAAATGGAAAGGATCCTTAATGATCAAATCCACTTTGAAAAGGAAATTGTTTTTACTTGGCCAGTGCATCATTGCGTTGTTAAGAAATGACAGTAGCTTGCTTAGAAAGTTCCCCTGCTATTAGTGGACAGTACCTTTTAAGATTGATACAAAAAGCTTTCTTATTAAAAAATATTAAATGCATACTTTTTGGGATGTTGACCATAGCTTTTCTAATTGTGCTAAGTAAATTATTTTTGAGCAAATCAATCTCTATGCACGAATAAGGATCTAGCTCTCAAGATGGAAAGCTTTTCAAAATACAACAAGGCAAGAATCTTTTATACAAGGAAAGCTCCAACGGACTCAGCCCAAGAGAGCTTATATAATCGAAGCAGCTAGAGAAAAAGTGGTGTGCTTGACCGAGAAAATATCAAGAAAGATACTCGAGAGAAATACTAAGTCCAAGGCACCTGAAACTGCTCACACTGAGTTCTAGATAGAGTTCTCATTCCCTTCTTATATTGTAATTGGGTTATTGAGGATTAGTTAAGTGTAGCTTTCTCGGGTTGGGTAACGTGTGTTGTGAGAGCTTTGTTGTAAAGCTGAGAGGCTCTCTACCCGCAAGGTAGAGAAGCGTAACTTTTCCTAGAGAGGATATAGTTAGGGTGGCTCAAGGGTAGACTAAGAGAGTTTCCCTTGTAATCATTCAAAGGCTTTTTAGTGAAGTTGTTAAAATCCTCCGAGGGAGGTCGAGGTTTTTTAATCCCTTTGAGCCAAGGGATTTTTCCTCGTTAAATCATTGTGCACTTTACTATTTCGCAATTCCCTTTACCTCACACTAGAACTTGGCGAAAAACTGCCACGGTTCCACACACACACAATTCACTCCCCCTCTTGTGTTCATCAGTGATTTATACCTTCTAAATGACGTTGATTCTTCTCCTTGATTCCAGCGATATACTATCTATACACCGGCCATTTAGATCTTCAATGGATTTCGAGTCCCCGATCTTAATTCCAGTGATATACTCTTCTTTCTGATTCGGTTATGGGAGTTCTGAGGATTGTCGACAATGCTTCCAGTATGGTATAAATAGGGGTGTATTTGGTAATTGCCGTTTACAGTTTTCGCTTATCCACGTTGATGGTCTCTTTTTTGGAAATCTCTAATAAATTAGGTCACTTTTATGTCTATACTTATCCTATTAGTAATACTCATGACCTAATGCATACATCCTATTTGGATTGAGTGTTGAAGAGTGTTAATAATGGAAGTGTTGAAGGGTGTCAGTCTTAACACTTGTTTGGGAGAAATTTTTTAAAAAAATTGGAGTGTTAGCAGGTGTTTAAAAGTGTTAGGGGAAACCTCCCTAACACCGTGACTTTTTTAACACCCCAAATTGGAATGTTTTGGAGTGTTGGACAAAACTTACCCCTGTAGCTATCCTCGTCTTCGCTAAAAGAATGTTCGGTGGTTTTCTTCATCGAGGTAGCTAACCTATACTGATTGGTTTAACTCTCAATAAGCAAGCCCACTGAAAAGAAGATGATGTCTGCTCTGTTGCTCAAGGTGCCCTGCCGAGCCTCGTGCTTCTTCTTTGTTTGTGTTATCCATTTGGTACTGATTTTTCAAACTGAAATTGTATTGCTTCTGAAATTCTTTTTGGAATTCAAAGTTTATCTAGAATCCGGAAATTTTCCCACAAGTATGTTATTCTTTGCATTGGAATGGATATTGTTGTGTACTCTCCAGTACATACATGCGCAATTTATAGTTTACCAATCAACGCTAGTTTAAGTTTAAAAACGAATCAGATCATAAAACACTATATTTAGGATTTAAATGAGGACATTATTGTTAATTTATCTTAAAACACTTCCGTTATCAACACTTCATTTTTTTCTCTCTCAAACAAGATAAATTTATGTTTTACACTTACACTCATTTTCCATTTCGGATACTTTAATTATTAATACTTCCATTACTAACATTCTTCCCCATCCATTCCAAACAGGCCCTATAAGAGCATCTCCAACCCAAGGGTGGATTGCCAAAAAATATCCATCCACCTCACCAAATAGACCTTTTGTAAGCAAATGCATTCTCCAATGCAAAAAGAAATGAGTTGGGTCCATCCTATGTGGCAATGCACAAAGTCCACTAGGGGTTCTACATTGAGACCCTCGGTCTCACCCTTGTCCTTGCAATGTTAATCTTTTAATAATGAGTGTTATTGGAATAGCATTTTCTTCCTTCTGCATTGGAGTTGGGGATTGATAGACCCTCTCCATTGCTTTTACACCTAAGCACCAATCCACCATCTGGGTTGGAGATGCTCTAAGAGCATCTCCAATGTGGAGGTGGATTGCTATTCCACATAAGCCAATAGACTCTTAGTTTGCAAATGTAGTTTCCAATGTAAAAAGAAATGGACATGGTCATGCTTAGTTGGCAATCACAAAAAAGAGACAAGATCTAGCATGAGGTCCATATATGGACCTTGGTCTCACTTTGGAGGCTTTGATGGGAGTGCACTCACTTTATTTATTTATTTGCATTCGAGCACAACTTAAATGGACTCTATCATTTTTTAAGAAAACTGGTGCATTGGAGCACTCACTTTATTTATTTATTTATTTATTTATTTGTATTGGAGCACAACTTGAATGGACTCTATCATTTTTAAGAAAACTGGTCCATAAATCAAATAGACTTTTTCCATTGAGTTGCACTTGCCACATCATCTCCAATGCACTGCACCGTTGCATTGGAGAGGCTCTAAAAACATCCCATGTCCTTCGATCTACCATCGCAGGTTCGTCACCCTCCGATCCCACACCTGCAGAGATTTAGTACCCGCTTCCATGGATACCCCGCTAGCCTCTTCACTGCCAATGAGATAAACAGATCTCATCTACTATTGAACCACGTTCGTCGATCTACAACAGAAACTCGCGAAGTTCAGAAGATCTTTCATCGGTTCAGTAGCGGAATCTCCAGAGAGGTAGGTTTTCATATGAATTTATTCCTTAAGTGCATGTTTATGTTTCACACCAATCTATCCTAAAACCCAAAGGCCTGGTACTGATTTCATGTTCCATTCTTCTATGATGATATCGAGCGAGGATTCTTACTCACGAACAGCTTGACGGGCATTAAAGTTAAGCTTTAATTTTATTAAGAAAATATGTTTCTTGTTTTTTATTCATTCTTTTTAAATGCTATCAGTAACAATTTTGGGTAACCATCTGTGCACTGGACCTTTTCTGTTTTTGACTTCAACTCGATGCTCAAATATGAGTGTTATTCCTTAACATTCTGTCCTTAATTTACACATGTGAACTAACTATTTATCCTTATTATTAAAATTGGGGTTCCCGCAATTAAGAGTAATTGTAACTAACTAATACCTGTAGTATAACTCAACGTTTAAATCAAGACAGTATTGAACCCCAAAATGTAATGTTTTTCGATCCTCATCTCACACAAACAAATAAATGCTAGTTGTTGAGTTTTTATCACCCCAAATCAAACAGACTGTTATTCTTTACATACTATTCTCACTTTCTCACTATACATACATTTCAACTAAATTAACTGTTTTACAATAACTAATGAAAAAAACTAACATAAATACTACTCCATATATACGGAGTATGATTTTTCTATAATTAAGGAGCAAACCTATCTAATTAATTTAACTCTCCTTACTGTACACACACATGAACTAACTGTAAGTGGAAATCGTACTAAAGTCCTGCTGTAATCTTTTTTTTTGAAAATTCAGCCCACTTAAACTATATTTTTTAATGTTAAATTTGTGTTCTATTTCTTGAAACATGCCTTCTGCAAGATTCTTATCAAAATATTTGACCTCTAAATCATTCTATATATATGCTTTCTCAGTGAAACAAAAATCAACTATGAATCAAGTTAGTTGTCTAATACATGTATAAGTTAACATTTGTATGTGAGCTTTGCTAATTGCTACACATGAAAGACCAATTTTAACTATACAACTAAAGTACTTTTTAACCTCACCAGAGATAGAAACAGAGCTTCTCTTTGTGGATTTAGTTAGTTTAACCATTTCATTAACATTCAATCAAAAGTAGTTCTTTATCCTTAACTTGAAACATCTAAAAATCATTCATTATAGAAAACATACATTTTTTTGTTAGTATAAGCTAAAAAAATAACAGATTTACACAACACTCACAGTCTCACACGTAGACGATATTTCTCATATTGCAGACCGAGAATGAAAAAGAGGTTAATAAGAGGTAGAAGGATTGAGTTGTATTCATTTGGAAAGTGTTTGCTATGTAGTACTCCGTCCGTCCCTATTTAAAGTTCCCACTTTCCTATTCTGGATGTCCCTTAAAAAGGCCTCTTTCCTTATTTGGTAAACCAAACAGTGCTAAACAGTGCCAAAGAGTGTCAAATAGTGCCAAACAGTGTCAAAACAGTGCCAAATAGTGTCATTTCCTTAATATGAGTGCAAATCAAAGTGGGAACTTTAAATAGGGACGAAGGGAGTCGTAGTTATAGAAAAATGAATGATCTTTTTAAAAGAAAGTACACATGTCCATAACAGGTTGGCGAGATTTGATTGGCTAAAAATACACTTGTACCAATGAATAGGCTGGCGATATTTTATCGCTGAAAACACACCTGTCCCAATGAATAGGCTGGCTAGATTTGACGGGCTGTATTTTTTACAAATTTAATTACTACCTCCGTCCCATATTTATCTTCATAGTTCGGTTTACGATGCTTGACTGACGATAAAGCAACTCGACCCCTGTTCACACTCGGATTATTTTTAGTAAATAAAATTTACATATTCAGAAACTACATTAAAACCGCTACAAAGCCTGATCAAGAAATTTTAAGTTTGATAAAAATTTGATATATAAAGTAAAAGATTAAGAATAATTTGAGTTGACCATGTGAATAGTAACTATGAAGATAATTTTGGGACGGAGGGAGTATATTTTATATTTGTATCTATATTTGTACACATTCTCCACGAAACAGGTTGTCGGGACTTGATTGGGATAGTTTATAGTGTGTTCATTGATTAACTTTCATCAATGCTTTTACTGTATATGTTTTCTTTATTATTTAATTTTAGTTCTTTGTATTAAAAGTCCCCACTGTAGCTGATATGGTTTTTAAGTAAGTATATTGTATTCTGTTTAATATTTCTACTTTTGAGGTTTTTATTTGGTGGACCCGCGTGCTGCTCTATATTATGGGGATGTTTGGGCAGGAATACTCTTCACAAAACATTTTGCTTTTATATAATGATAGATTGGGATTTTGGCCAGCGACGGGATGTGTTCCATTGCAGCATCTTTGAACGCCGCTCATCCATTTACTCTACCGGCATGGGATGGTATTGCTAGGATTTCAGGTCCACCCACTCATTTCTGGGAGCAGAAGAAGAGGAGACTGAAAAAAAGAGAACTTTTGCGAGCAACCGCGGTGGAGGCTAGACCCAGAAAGGTGCCCGCCATCAGAGATCGGTCATCTGACAATGGCAATGTTTCATTGCAATCTCTGCAACGAAGTGAGGTCACCTCCTCCCCCCTTCGTTCTAGCTGTGATCTAGCCGACGATATGCAAGCTGAAGCTAGTGCAGTGGGGCGTGCAGCAAATGCTTCAGTTTATAGCCCCCAACTATTGTTCAGCAAGTATGGCTCTCGACCCATCAAGGTAGGAAAGTCCCAAACATCATAACTCTTTCACTTCAACATAGATAAGTTTGTCCCTAAGGGATGGATCCAAGATGTAAGGTGCATTTCTTTTTGGATAATGTAGGTTCTGTCTATTTTTTATTTAAAAAAACAAACTCATTAGCACATTAGCACATAGGTAACATTTAAAGGATAAAAGATTTACACAATGAGAAAATAACTTAGATTTTATAATTGTAGTGATCTAGAAAAAGTAATGTTGCATTAAAGCCTAAGAAATGACAAATCAAGGGGAAAATATTTGATAATAAACAGGTTAAAATTTTATCAAATTATCTGAAGATAAATAATCTAAAAGGTACACATCCAGAATAATGAATTAATTTTTTATGCTAAAAAATTGAAATGAATGTAGTTCTAGAATAATTTATTTTTATTATTATTTGTGATATGAATTCTTTTTAAAAAGTCAGAACTAAATGAATTTTGTAATTTTAATGTCACATAAACATTCAAATTTTGGATTCACTACACATTATCTAAAAACTTTTTAACCAGTTTGTCTTGCATTTAGTATAGTTTGATGATTTACAAAATCGAGTACTAATGATCTAATAAAGATAAATTAAACATCACAAAACCAGGATTCTTTTACATCTCGTAAAGTATTATTTTATGTAAGGCTATAAATTAATTTTGAAAACTAAAAGATAAATGAGGTGAACATGTATATATCTAATTAAAGTATAAAGTTTTATAAAAAGATTACATATATAATAGAAAAAATTGAGAGCCCAAGGGGCGGCCGCCCCATGCGTTCCTCCCAAAATCCATCCCTGTTTGCGCCCCTTTTCTTCTGAATTATTGGCATTTGGTATTGTGCAGAACTCTTGATAACATTTGGCTTTTATCGTTGGACTTTGATAATAGACAGTGAGCAGAGCATTCGAGATACTACTTGGACTATGTTCATTTGCCTTAAAACTGTGGCTGGACAAATTGAACGGCCATCTCAACCAAAACAGAAGACTGCGTGCAGTTGAGTTGAGGCAGATTTTCACTAGTTTAGGTCCTACTTTTGTTAAAATCGGACAGGGACTATCCACCCGACCTGATTTATGTCCTCCAGAATTCCTTGAGGAGCTATCTAAGTTGCAGGTACACACCGTGCTTTTTATATCCTCATTCTTCTTCTTTAAGGTTTGCTGCCAAAAGATAAATTGATATATTTCATCTCTTCCATTTGGATTCGATACCACATAAATGTTCTACTAAAGGAAATTAAGGACAACAATTGATCACCCATGCTCAATTGTAAATGGGTCCCAAACACATAACACGTTTGATTTATGGGTTGAGAGGAAAGTAAAAAATATTCATATAAAAATTCATACTTTTTAAAGTACTCGCTGAAATTGCTTCTAAAGAGATCTAAAAAAAGTTTTCCAAAACCAGTATTTGGAATAGTTTATGAAGATATCTAAAAAAGCGCTTAAGTAACTTTTCAAATAACCTTTGGAAAATTTTTCTGAAAAAGATCTCAATTAACTTTAAGCGGCTGATTTTGACTTTGGGCTTGTGACATATACTCATTGGTGCTACTCCAACATCCCAGGAGAGCGAACCGCTAACATATCGGAATTTGATAGGGACTTGTCCCTATGATAATCTTGTAACTGCGGGAACTCGTTATGACTTTTGTAGTACATACACATAATCTTTCTCTTTAAATATTATTTTATTCTATTTTGACGTTTATTTAAAAACATCCTTAAAAATCTTTTAAAAGAACAACATAATTGACAGTCTTAATTATGCCAAATAACAAGTACTACCTCCGTCCCGGCTTAAACTTCTCGTTGAAAAATGACGCAATTATTTAGACAATAATATAATATGACAATTGAGCATATTTTGAAATTTAGTGTTGATGGGTATATAACATAATTGGAAATACGAGAATCGTGTTTCCGAAAACAGAATTAATTCCACTTTAGGTCCTCTGAGTTTTGTGTCATTTCCATATTTAGTCCTCGTCTTTCACTTTATCCATTTTTGGTACCTGACTATTGTTTTCTTGACCATTTTCGGTCCATCTCTGGGTATTTTTACTACCGGAAAAGGACTATATATGGTCAAGAAAACAATAGTCAGGTACAGAAAATGGATAAAGTAAAATACGAGGACTAATCGTGGAATTGGTGCAAATCTCAAAGAACCATAAGTGGAATTTCTTCCCGAAAATATATAGGACACGAAGATGGGGGAGACCTCTAAATATTAAAACATATAAGGGGAGACCTCTAAATATTAAAACATATACGGATATATATGTACACGTGTTTTTCATTTATCAATATGCATTTTTTTCATATAACTTATTTAGTAAGGCAATAATAAATTGGGGTTTTGACATGAATATTACTAATAAATGGATAATGTGGACAAAAAAGTGACAATTTTTAAAATTTCCAAAAATGTTACTAATGAGCAGTAAACTTACTAAATTACCCGGGACAACCGAGAGCGTCACACTTTGACACGAGCTGATAGCAATTGAAGAAACCTGCAATCAGGGGAGATCTGTTTGCGACGAAACCTGAGGCCTGGGAGATGTTGTCTGCAGCGAAACTGGCGAACTGGAAGAAGCTGCTGATGACGACGCACTGTGAGACGCGGCTAGTGACGTACTGTGAGGAACTGCTAGCGTTGACGAATGTTGAGAATCTGTTTGCGATGGCGGACTAAAAGACACGGTTCGCAACTGCGAACTGGGAGAAGTTGTTCACGACTGCGAACTGGGAGAAATCGTTCGAGACTGCGAACTAGTAAAAGTGCTAAACGACGATGCTGAGTCCTTCGTTTCCAAGGGTCGACGGCTCCTACCTGCCCACGATCGGTGATAGGAACCAGCCTATTAGAGTATTAGACTATTATTAGAATAATAATAATAATAATAATAATAATAATAATAATAATATGAGTAATAAGGATACATGAATATTGTAGTATAAATAGACGGGAAAGGGGAGTTAGTGGGAGGCTTTTAGACATTTGGTCTTGGGACTGGGAAGGATATGAGACTGAACATCTCTATCTTTTGGGGCTTCAGCTTTGGGGGCTTCGGCTTTGTACTTGTTACTGTTCATCATCTCCTTCAATAAAGATTTCTCTAACATAGTTAGAGGTCTCTAACATTGGTATTAGAGAAAAACGATCTTCCTACCTGTAGTCGTGTACATGGCAGGAATGATGGAAACTTGGGAGCAAAAGATGGAGAAGTTGCGCGAAGAGATACGCAAATTAAGCATGCCAAGAAACAATCAGCGTTCTGATAAACCATCGCAGTCGCGAAAGTCACAGAAGGAGCCGATAATTGTTTCGCACTTGCTAAAGGATCCGTGCGGAAAATTGGGGAAACTCGCGGAAACGATGGAGTGCGGAAAAATGGAGAAGGAGAAGAGCTTAAAATCGGAGAAAGAAAAACGCCCAAAACTGGAGAAAGAGAAACGCTCAAACCTGGAGAAGGAGAAAAGTTCTAAACCGGAGAAAGAGAAATGCTCAAGCCTGAAGAAAGAGAAGAGTTCTAAACCTGAGAAAGAGAAACGTTACAGCCTGGATAAGGAGAAACGTGAGAAGAGCAAACAACATAACTGGCGAGGACGATCGAGGAAGGTACGTCGCTGCGTGAATTCGAAAAGCAAAGCTCCATCTCAGTCACAAGAATTCCCTAGTTCGTAGTCGCGAACTGTTTTCTCAGTTCGCCCTTGCCAACCGAGCATCTTCTATCGTTATCGCAAGTAGATTCTTACCCTGCGCCAGACTTGTCTCTTGATTTGCAGATGACATTGCAAGCCATAAATCCCAGTGTGCGAGTGTCAACATGCCCACATGAATCCTCTGTTTCAGAATCTATAACCATAGCCGCATCAGGAAAAGGATTAACAGGGACTATAGCGAAGTGGCACCAACAGTTTCAGAAAATAGCGAAGCTGACATTCTGATGGTATGTGATAGTGATGTTTGTGTGGTCAAGTCCACATTGACTTTTGGGTTTGTACAGGAGAGGAACTGGCTTAATGTTTTAAAATCTGTAATGATGGACTGTGATATATTACACATTGCTTTGGAAGGGCTGAAGACATTGAACAAGTTTGATAGATTCGGATGTGAGGGTGTTACTTCGATGATAGATAATCAAAATGGGTTGGAAGGAGAATTTTCTGGGAATATTACAGAGTATGAGGGATATGTTTCTGGTGTTGGAGTTGTCATGTATCTGATGTTTGTTAAAGATCTCAATCCTGGTCGTTTCCCTGAGGCCATTATAGGAGGTGTAGGCTTAGACTATCAGTTTGATGATTCTGCTGTGGCAAATTCTTATTCTGTGGCTAGAAGCCCATCTTCTATGTCCATTGTACTCGTGAATGGCATTTACAGGGACTTTGTCGGCTCTTATCTTGACTCTTCCATCTTCCAGCATCAACAACAGAAATTGAATGTTCCTGGTTCTTTCAATATGCTGACTATTGGAAAAGAGATTCTTTTTGAAGTTCAGTCAACCACTCAGGTATGGGGATCTGGCGCTGAAAACACGAGTTGCTATTCGTTGGTCATCCACCCGGAACCACTGATGTGGACAATACTTTCTAAGGATGACTTGGTGGATAATTTTACCTATGATGTCTTGAAACTGAACCCAAGGACTCTGTATTATGGTTGGAGTTCATGGTCCTATTTTCGTAAAGGAGAGGTTATTTCTTATCACCCAGGTGGTAAGAATGCAGACCATGATATTAGATATTGCTATGTGATGGTGGGCAATGATCAAGGTATATCAAGAGTTTCAATTCTGTAAGAAATGTCACTCATGACATGTCACAAAGTATACATATCAGAAGCTAAAATCCCAAGGAGTGAAGCAACTGAAAACCAAGGACTTGCATTATACTCTGAAGCAAGAGCTACTAGCAAATGGAATATTGAGCAGAAGGTGATGAATGAAGATCAGTATTAGCAAATGGAACATGATAGGAACCAGCCTATTAGAGTATTAGACTATTATTAGAATAATAATAATAATAATAATAATATGAGTAATAAGGGTACATGAATATTGTAGTATAAATAGACGGGAAAGGGGAGTTAGTGGGAGGCTTTTAGACATTTGGTCTTGGGACTGGGAAGGATACGAGACTGAACATCTCTATCTTTTGGGGCTTCGGCTTTGGGGGCTTCGGCCTTTGTACTTGTTACTGTTCATCATCTCCTTCAATAAAGATTTCTCTTGTTTCTTGATATTAGCTTCTGTAATCTCTGAATAGTTAGAGTAATCACAGTAAATGGAATCACAGAACTCAGAAACAGTAACTTTCATTGAAACAAGAAGAAAGAGAATACAGTTCCACAGAAGGAGATAAAACTCCAACTGCCCAATCCAAGCCCAAAGCGTCTAACTGCCTGCCTAACTCCCGCAGCTTTTATTCTATTTATTCCCTTCCACATCCGGAAGGTAGTTATTAGTCAAAATAGCCCCACTTACTAATAACTAGTATGCTTTGACTTTCTAGAATATACATGCCCTTTATATCTATTACTACTGGATAGACTACCCGGGTACTTATCAGACTCCTATTGCTCTAATTGCCTCTTGGTATTGAGTAGGATGCCATGCCAACTTTTCCTGACAAGGAAGCATTTTCCTGTATTGAGAGGGAGTTGGGATGTCCGCTTGATTCCATCTACTCATCTATATCTGCATATCCTGTGGCTGCAGCCAGTCTGGGCCAAGTGTATAAAGCTCAACTGAAGTATTCCGGTCAGGTTGTTGCTGTTAAGGTTCAACGGCCGGGTGTTGAAGAAACAATAGGATTAGATTTCTACCTTATAAGAGGCTTGGGTTTGCTCATTAATGAATATGTTGACACAATATCCAGTGATGTTGTTGCACTTATTGATGAATTTGCTTGTCGAGTTTATCAAGAGCTCAATTATGTTCAGGTTGGTTTTACAAGCACTTCATTATATTCCCTTAAGACACATTTCTATTAATATTATCATGCTGTTATGTCCTGCAGGTTGGATATGATCTCTTCAAAATAAAACAGCATCTATTATATACTCTTAGGTAAACTCCTACGATGCTTCTGGGTTTGAATGTTAATTTTGACAGGTGTATGCAGGAAGGACAAAATGCAAGAAGGTTTAAGAAGTTATATGCTGACAGAGAAGATGTTTTTGTCCCGGATATTTTCTGGAACTGCACGAGCGGGAAAGTTTTAACTATGGAGTGGGTGGAAGGTGTTAAATTGAATGAGCAAGAGGCCATTGAGAGGCAAGGGCTAAATGTTTTGGATCTGGTGAACACTGGTATCCAGTGTAGTCTCAGACAACTGCTTGAATATGGCTATTTTCATGCAGATCCTCATCCTGGGAATCTCTTGGCAACACCTGATGGGAAGCTTGCTTTTATTGATTTTGGTATGATGAGTGAAACCCCTGAAGAAGCAAGATTTGCCATTATTGGTCATGTCGTTCACATGGTTAATCGGGACTATGAGGCTATGGCTCGCGACTATTATGCATTAGACTTTCTGTCTCCTGATATAGATGTTTCTCCCATTGTGCCAGCACTTCAGAATTTCTTTGATGATGCACTTAACTCCACTGTGAGTGACCTCAACTTTAAAACAATTGTTGATGGCTTGGGTGCTGTGTTGTATCAATACCCTTTTAATGGTAAGCTATGGGTTCACTATCTTTTCTTTGCAGTATATTGTTAATTAATCCTACTTTTTTTTACCAAAAAGAAAATCCGTATTGTAAAAAATTAAACAAGTTGCTTTATACATGTATATAAACAAATTCAGTCACTTGCTTTATTTCTCACATCTCTGATTTGTGACTCAATTGGCTGATTTTTTTGGCAGTTCCAGCGTATTATGCATTGATTCTAAGGTCCCTCACCGTTTTAGAAGGCTTAGCTCTAAATGCCGACCCCAAGTTTAAAGTGCTGGCTGCATCATATCCATATTTTGCTAAGAGGCTTCTTACTGATCCGAACCCATACCTTAGAGATGCTCTCATTGAGCTGCTTTTCAAGGAAGGAAAGTTCAGGTCTGCAGTTCGATGCCCATTCTCCTGTTTCCATCTTTGTAAGTACTTGATGACCTCTTGCTGTCTAGGTAGCTCATGACCTCTTGCTTTGCTGTAGGTGGAGTAGACTTGAAAACCTGCTTGTTCAGGGAAAGAAGGATCAAGATTTTTCTGCAAAAGATGCTTTACAGCCTCTCCTAAAGTTATTATTGGGTCCAGACGGCGATGAGTTACGGGGTTTGGTGACTAAAGAGGCTATCCGTGTCACTGAAGCTGTCATTCTAGGATCAATTATTGAATCATATAACCTCATCCCTGGTCCCATGAGATCTATCTTCAAAAGCAGTGCAGTTGGTCTTCTTGTAGTGAATACTGAAGAAGAGAAAAATATGATAGATCTCAGGGCACAAGTAATCAGGATATGGGGTCTTTTGCAAGCCTCAGAGGGTTTTGACCCAAGTCTTCTACAACCAATTTTACAGGTAGGCTATATCTAGACTGAATATCTGTCTCCAAGACTTGAATTTGCATTCTAAGCTCTGAGCTCTGTAAATGTATATAAAATGGAAAAATTGACCTGTCCAAACCTCTTGCTTGAGTCCCTTGATGAAATACAGTAAAGTCTCTACAGTCTTCTAAGATTACGTTGGCCTTTGTTTCTAATTAAAAGCCTAAAGTCTTAAATCGGCTGACTCTGCATAACTAGACTCTCTGCGTCTCAGAGTCTCAACAGTCCTCTAAGATTACTTTGGGCTTTGATTTTAATTAAAAGCCTAAAGTCTTAAATCGGCAACTGCAGTTAGACTGGCAAAAAATCAGCGATGCCCAAGGCACACCTGGACGACAACTAGACAACGCTAGGGTCGCCTACTCTTCTTTTGGCAAGGTGAGGGAACCCGGTGACCACTCCCTAGTGTCAGGACCCCTAGTTGCCGACTAGGCGACGCCTAAGCGACGCTGTGACAAGTATGGTTGCTAAGCAGTAAGCACTGGGTGTCCTACTCAATAGACCTATTTGCTTCTAGGCACATATTCATCTCATGTGCTCTCATTATGACAGAGAAAGGCAATATATCTGTTACGGATGCATTCTGGGGCAAACAATACAGCAGGCGACAAGGCCCAGAACGAGCCCAGCACGTTGCAGATTCAAGCCCGGACAGTGGGCCCAAATATACCGGGAAACAAAGTGGCTGAAAGAAAACTATTAATTAGTTATTACTATTATTCCTATTTCAGTTTTAGGCAACTGCCTAATTATTCTAGTTTCCTATTTCAGTTTTAGGCAACTGCCTAATTATTATAGTTTCCTATTTCAGTTTTAGGCAACTGCCTAATTATTATAGTTTCCTATTTCAGTTTTAGGCAACTGCCTAATTATTAATTGCCTTTAGGACTCTTGTATCAGCCTCTATATAAGGGTCATTATTATTATCAATAAAGTACCTTTTGGAAGAATTAATTTTGTGTCTTGACCAGGTCGGACATCAATTTAATTCCTACTTAAGATTTCAATTCTTCAGAAATCATAGATTCCTTCCCAGTCAATTACCTTCCCTCTGAATTACAGAAACCTTCTCGTCCCTGGACGAGATCATTAACAAAGGTTCTTAACAATTTGGTATCAGATTCCGGGACGATGGGTGATGACGCAGCAGGAGCCGAGGCATTGAAACACATGATTGAGGGCATTGATCAACGCCAGTTGACTGTCGAACACCAGCTGGCTGACCTGCAGGAGTGTGTCTCCAAATTGGCCGATTTACCCGCAGCGATGGCCGCCTTGTCCGTCTCTGTCCAGAAACTAACCGCAGATTCTTCCCCAGTATCTTCCTGCTTTGCTCGGCCACACGAATGAGAAATCTGACGCCAGGATCATGATGACTTAGTGGTTCCACGTTTTTCCAAGCTTGATTTTCCACAATATGACGGTAAGAGCGACCCTTTATCATGGCTTAAACGTTGTGAAAGTTTCTTTGTTCACCAGCGCACACCGGCGCAAGCCCGTGTGGGTCTCGCAACGTTCCACATGATTGGGACAGCCCAACTCTGGGCTGATCAGCTGGATCCCAGTGCTACCGACATCACCTGGACTGAGTTCTATAGAAAGTGTACTAAACGCTTTGGACCGCCCTGTGGTGCCAATCCTGAAGGGGACCTTGCCAAACTCACCCAGACACATGATGTGGAAACTTATATCGAGTTGTTTCAACAGTTGCTTGCCCGCACCGTTGGCATCTCTATGCGCATGCAAGTTAAAATCTTCACAGCAGGATTACGTGAATCGTTGCGCTTGGAGGTTGAGTACCAGAATCCAGTTGATCTTGATTCAGCAATGATGCTGGCCCGTACTGTGAACCGCAAGTATGAACACCCAGAGACCAAATCTCGTTCCACTCTTTTGGTTCCATCTGCACAGTACTCTCGGCCACCGACACCGAATATGCCGGATCCATCCATAACCCGACGACAATCCACACCGGGTTTTAAAAAGATCTCCCGCGCTGAGGCTGCCATACGCCGGGAAAAAGGATTGTGTTATAACTGTGACGATCCATGGATTCCAGGGCACCGATGTAAACGGCTTTTTTTATTGAGATTCTGGATGAGGAATCCTTACTAGAGACAGATGAATATACAACCAGTCCTGAGCCATCCCTGTCTATCTTGGCTATGACTGGGTTCGGATCTTCATCCACCATGCAATTGTCAGCACGTCTCTGTGACCGTTCCATCACTATCTTGGTAGATTCGGGCAGCACTCATAACTTCCTGCACCAACGGTTACTTCCAACCACGACGGCCCTATCTCAGGTTGGTGGTGCACTCCATGTACTTGTCGCTAACGGTGACCGTGTCCCCATAATCGGTACCTGCTCTAATCTCCCTTTTGAAGTCGATGGCAGACAATTCTCAGCAGATGTTTATGTCCTTCCACTGGCCGGGTTTGATATGATCCTTGGTGTGCAATGGCTCCGTGGGTTAGGTTCCATCGTGTGGGACTTTGAGCAGCTCTCCATGCCTTTCCAGTGGCAAGGCCATCCAGTAGAATGGCAAGGACAAGTAGCAGGTCAGTCCATTCATGCACACATGGCTGTTACATCGCAGATGGTGACCCCATCTTTAGACGCAATGCTGAACAGTTTCTGTGACCTCTTTCGTGAACCCACCAGTCTTCCACCTCGCCGAACTCATGATCACCGTATTACTTTATTGTCGGGCTCAGGTCCAGTGGTGGTTCGACCATACCGATATCCTTATTTTCAGAAGGATGAAATTGAAAAACAATGTGCTGAGATGTTAGAACAGGGGATAATCCAGAATAGCCGCTCTCCATTCTCATCCCCGGTTTTATTAGTCAAGAAGCCCGATGACACATGGCGTTTTTGTGTGGACTATAGGGAACTGAATGCCAAGACGGTTAAAGATAAATTCCCTATTCCAGTGATTGATGAACTGTTAGATGAACTCCATGGAGCAAAATTCTTCACCAAGCTGGACCTCCGCTCTGGTTATCACCAAATCCGAATGGATCCTAATGATGTCGAAAAACAGCATTCCGAACCCACCATGGTCACTTTGAGTTCCTGGTGATGCCATTTGGGTTATGTAATGCTCCCTCTACGTTCCAAAGCCTTATGAACGACATCTTTGGTCCCTACTTGCGCAAGTTCGTATTAGTTTTTTTTTATGACATCTTAATCTATAGTAAGTCATGGGTTGAGCATGTCCATCACGTTCACCTTGTTTTTGAGATTTTACGCACTCACGGATTGTTTCTCAAACATTCCAAGTGTAGTTTTGGGTCCCCGCAAGTTAACTACTTAGGACATGTGATTCATGGTCAAGGAGTTGAGGTTGATAAATCCAAGATTCGTGCGGTTCTTGACTGGCCTACCCCAAGCACCGTAACTGCCTTGCGTGGTTTTTTGGGTCTTGCAGGCTATTACCGCAAATTTATACAAGGATATGGGGAAATTGCAAGACCACTCACCCAATTTCTCCAGAAAAATGCTTTTGTTTGGTCCCCAGCAGCAGCCTCTGCCTTCACTGACCTCAAACAACGTTTGTCTTCAGCTCCAGTATTACAACTTCCAGATTTCACAAGAGAGTTTGTTGTGGAGTGTGATGCCTCTAGTAGTGGATTTGGGGCCGTGTTGCAACAAGAGGGCCATCCCATTGCATATTTTAGTCGGCAGATTGCTGCCCGCCATTCGAAACTTGCGGCTTATGAGCAGGAACTAATCGGTCTGGCGAAAGCAATCACCCATTGGCGGCTCTATCTTTGGGGTAGAGAGTTTCTAATCAAGACTGATCATTCGAGCCTCAAATATCTGTTAGAACAACGCCTCACTACATCACCACAACAACACTGGCTAAGCAAGCTCATGGGCTTCACTTTCCGGATCGAGTACAAACCAGGTCGCTTAAATGTGGTTTCAGATGCGTTGTCTCGTCGAGATGAACCTATAACGTTAGCAGCAGTCTCCATTCCATATACAACTCTCATGGAGGACATACGCCTCGAACACGCCACGTCACCAGAAATCAAGGCGTTATGTGAACAGTTGAAGACCGGGGTCCTCGACAATGACTGGGCATATCGTGATGGCTTTCTCTACTTCCGCCATAAGATTTTTCTCCATTCCACCTCATCCCTCATTACCACGTTGATTATGGTGTTCCATGAGATGGCCCATGAAGGTGTGGAAAAGACACTACAACGGTTGCGCCGAGAATTCTACTGGCCCAAAATGAAGCTAACGGTGAGTCAACTTGTTAAGGAATGCCTCACATGCCAACGCCATAAATGGCTAACTTTACAACCAGCAGGGTTGCTTCAGCCATTACCCATTCCACAGCAAGTTTGGGCCGACGTTTCCATGGACTTCATTGAGGGGCTGCCCAAAGTTCGGGGCAAAACAGTCATTTTTGTGGTTGTGGATCGTCTCACCAAAGCTGCCCACTTTATACCACTGGCTCATCCATACACAGCTGTTTCAGTGGCCAATGTCTTCTTTTCTGAAATTTTTCGGCTACACGGACTTCCTGAATCTATAGTTTCTGACCGTGACAAAGTTTTCGTTAGTCAATTTTGGCGAGAACTTTTCCGTTTGAGTGGCACTAAACTGACTTTTTCTTCAGCTTATCATCCCCAGACGGATGGCCAAACGGAGGTAGTTAATCGCACATTGGAAACTTTTTTACGTTGTCTCACCAGTGACTGCCCCAGGGAGTGGGTTCGATGGTTACCTTGGGCAGAATTCTGCTATAACACTTCCTTTCACTCCAGTTTAGGAGACACTCCATTTCGTCTCGTCTATGGGCGAGATCCGCCGAAGTTAATCTCTTATACTCCAGGAACCGCCAAATTGGAGGGAGTGGAACAAGAGTTAATCAACCGGGATGCTTTTTTATCTTCAGCTCGACGTCACTTGACCACTGCCCAAGCTCGTATGAAATCTCAATATGACAAAAATCACAGGGAGGTTACCTTTGAAGCCGGTGATTGGGTTTGGCTACGGGTTCATCCTTACCGACAACTCTCCATGGGTTCCCGTCACCATAAACTACTTCCCAAATTCTATGGTCCATTCCAAGTGGCTGCTCGCATCGGCAAGGCTGCTTATCAGCTTTCTCTACCTGAGACAAGTAAAATTCATAACGTCTTTCATGTTTCCCTCTTAAAGAAGCATCACGGTCCTTCCCCTGAGCAAATGGGAACTCTGCCTCCTTTAACAGAACAACCAACAACCTTGCAACCCCTAGCCATACTTCGCAAACGCCTTAATAGGGGTGTGCCAGAGGTACTTGTTCACTGGATAGGACAGTTGGCCGAGGAAGCCACCTGGGAGACCTTGGAGTCCTTTACTGCTGCATTTCCAAGGTCTGAGCTTGCGGACAAGCTCGAAGTCGATGAGGGGGGTATTGTTACGGATGCATTCTGGGGCAAACAATACAGCAGGCGACAAGGCCCGGAACGAGCCCAGCACGTTGCAGATTCAAGCCCGGACAGTGGGCCCAAATATACCGGGAAACAAAGTGGCTGAAAGAAAACTATTAATTAGTTATTACTATTATTCCTATTTCAGTTTTAGGCAACTGCCTAATTATTCTAGTTTCCTATTTCAGTTTTAGGCAACTGCCTAATTATTATAGTTTCCTATTTCAGTTTTAGGCAACTGCCTAATTATTATAGTTTCCTATTTCAGTTTTAGGCAACTGCCTAATTATTAATTGCCTTTAGGACTCTTGTATCAGGCTCTATATAAGGGTCATTATTATTATCAATAAAGTACCTTTTGGAAGAATTAATTTTGTGTCTTGACCAGGTCGGACATCAATTTAATTCCTACTTAAGATTTCAATTCTTCAGAAATCATAGATTCCTTCCCAGTCAATTACCTTCCCTCTGAATTACAGAAACCTTCTCGTCCCTGGACGAGATCATTAACAAAGGTTCTTAACAATATCACTTTGATACGTTTGCAGAAAATTGGAGTAGAAATATTATTGATATCGTCAAGGTTCAAAATTGCGCAATAGAATCCCGCAATGAGGCGCGCCTCGCAGATTTCTGGCAATCTGCGTTGAGAGGTGTATCCCGTTTAACGCCTTAGGAAAAACTACGTCTTTTGGCCTGAGGCGTACGCAATAAGGCGACGCGTAATCGTATGCAATGGAAAGTCAGCGCTGCTTAGCAATAATTGACCCAAAAAGTATTTCAATTATTGAAATAACCCAGCCCATCCATTCATCTGTGTCCCACGTTAAAAAAACAAACCTGTCGTATTACCGCTCTGTTCTTCGCTCGTTTGGTCTGCATTGGAGAAGCTCCTCCGCCTCTGTATGTTAGGACTCAAATAGAGTAGCACTAATAATAATAAATGATAGCAATAATAATATTAGAATAGCGAGTATAAATAGAGGCTGTGGGTAGATTAGAGAGGAGGCTGGTTTTATCTTGGACTTGGGATATCGGGAGCTGGCATTCTCTAACTGCCTTTGTATTTCTCTTCTCTGTTAATCGACCTTCTTCAGACAGTTCATTCTTTCTTCATCTTTCTTTTCTTGAATTTACTCTGAAATTAGCTAGATACCTAACATTGGTATCAGAGCTGTTCTTGTTACCTGTTAATGGTTGCCATTAGAGGAACGATGGAAGCTAGGCTGGAAAATTTTAAACGTCGATGTGAGCTCTTGGGGAAGATTTTTGTCCAGATTTATTTGGCAGCGGATTTAGTTTATGCAGTAGAAGATATGTCAATGTTACTATTTTACTTGCAAGTTCATGTCTTAGTTTTTTCACTTGCATTTGTTTGATTGACTTTCATGCCAAATAATTGATCATAAATAAAACCATGGTTTAACATTAGTTTACAATGTTAACTAATTGTAGTTAAGTAATTGATATTTAATGACTAGATACTTCAAGAACCTGAGGCACGCCACATTGGAGGACGTGTGGTGGGTGGAATAAGCCAACGCCTTGCTGCACGATTTCTGCAACAAGTTCTTCGTGCTCGTGCATAGGAAGATCATGTCAGTATAATATTACTGCTGCTGTAAATTTATTGTTATCAATATGAAATGACCTTCAAGCAAGCAAATAGATATTGTACACGTTTTTATATTATTACTCTCTGGATGAGAATAGTAGATATAAACATTTGTTGTGCTTCAACCTAATGAAATGTAATGCTAGTTAACCAACTATTAGGTTTCTGACTAGTCCAGAATAAGAATGGTCACAATCCCCAGATTTGTTCCGGACTTCTAATTATAGAATTTGTGGATTGGTTCCCCTAAGCCACCTTCCAGGTCGCCCATTCCTGGTCCCGAAATGGCAGTCCCAGCCTGAACCATAATTGTGTTCACCCATGGTATGGATGAATCGTCTGCTACCATCAGATTTTAATTTTCCAGGTTTTGTTTTGAATTCCTTGTGTCTTTATTATGCCTAGTGAACCAGTTTGGCTCTGGGTTACCAAGTCGGTTCTGGGTTTCCAGTATGGTTACGAGTCAGAATTGTACATTAATTAAAATAATGAAGAATATATTAGAGAAATACGAAGTATGTATTCAACTATTCATCATCATCATCATGACCCCAGTGCCACAAAGGCTCCCACCAACGGTGGGGTACGGGGGGGGGGGGGGGGGGGGGGGTCGGTCGGATGTATGCAGTCATACCCAAAGTGAAAATTGCGTCGAAAATTACAAGACTGGCAGTTGCTTCATAACAAAGAAGCGTAGAAAGTTTAGTGAGCCATTTTGCTATATTCCATTATACTCCCAAGCCAAAAAGTAGTGAGTATTTTGGTTCCATTGCAAATGATGAAAAAATACGAAGTATGTATTAAAGCATTAAAATAGTATACACAAACTATGGACATACTATTTTTAAGAAATATTAAATTATTAAGCACTAAAAAGTTAGCTAAAGATGCCCCTAATTTTTCTTTAGTGTCAATTGTCAAAGATACCAGAGTTAGTAGCGTTGTTATTTTTACATTAATATTAATTAAGTAGGAGTGCAACCAGTCCGGCCTGGCCTGGTCTTGAACCGTGTACGGGGCTGTTCGGGGCAAGATAGGGCATGTGTTTCCGGTCTTGGTTCAAGTCCGGGTACCCGAATGGGGAACTGGCAGGCCGATCCCGAGTTTGAATTTTGGGGACTAGATCTGGCAGTTCCGGTTCTGGCTAACCAATTTTTTGTCTTGGAAAAATAAAAATAAAATATAATCAAATTGGGTCTGATTGGGAATTGGAATTGGACTGTTCGGGTATCCGGAACCGTGCTAGATTCAGATTTAATTGGATTGGACCCGGGCTTCCCTTAGCACTGATCGGGACTAGGGTTGGATTCGGGACGGGTCCGGGCTGGGCCTAGGCCTCGGGTCCGGGCCGCCGATTCTGAATAGGTGGGCCCGGGACCGGCCCGGGTAGCCACCGGGAGCGGTCCGGGCCTCGGGTCAATTTTATTTCCGTTTCCTAATTAACCCCCCCCCCCCCTCACCCCCAACCCCCCAAACCACCCCAAATGGCCCAAATTACTCAGCCTAACCCGAAAAGTTAAAAAAAATTGAAAAAAACAAAAATAAAAAGCCCGGAACCGGGCCTGAATTGGCCGGGCCGGTTCGGCTTTTGGGTGACCCAAGCCCGCACCGGGAACCCCCTGGGCCGGGCCTACCCGGACCGGTCACTGTCCAGGCCATTGGGTCGGGTCGGTTTAGCACAGTACCAGTCCCGGGCCGGTTCTAGGTCGGGCCACCCGGCCTGAGTCCAGGATTAATCGGGACTGACTGATTCAGGACTGGTCCAAGTTCACTCCTAGTTTTAATGTTAATACAACATTTAAACCTTATTCTCAAAAGACTTTGGGGTTAGCTAATATGAATCAATCAATGATTAGTTTTAATGTTAATACGCAAAATAATTCTACTAGTGACTGATGGTATGATAGTTCGTCTTTTGTTGGTGCTTTGGTTTTAATCAAGTATAACAATATAAATGAGGGTATCAAGTGATTGCACACTTGGTCGGCTTTTGTAATCAAAGAACTTTATAATAGAATAGGATTATTAAAAAAAATAGAATAGGGTTATTTATATATTTTTATTTAAACTCTTTCCCTATAAATATACCTGCCAGGGCTCTTTACACAGCATCATGTTCCATTCTCTAACATGGTATCAAGAGCACAGACAAAACCCTTTTTTTTGTTTCAGTCCAACCTCTCTGCGCGGATGACTTCCTCCGGCTTTACCGCTTCCGCGGCTTCCTCTTCTACGGCGGTTTCCTCCGCCATGAACAATATCTCATCCGTTATAGCCATAATGACCAGCGCTCTTTCCGCAGGACCGCTGCTGGCCATATGCTCTGTCGATTCCGGCGTCACCTTCTCTTCCATCTTCGCATCGCCAAACCGCACCATCGTGCTGTACTCTCTCTTCCAGAATCTACCGCCGGTATTTCCTTGGCTAGCTCCATCTCAGGTGCAGTCCGTGACCTTGGATCCACCCCCTTCTCTTCCGGCTCCTTTTCTGGTCCTACGTTCGTCGGCTCGCTTGGGGTATCCTCCACCCTTCCGCCTCTTCGCACAGCATCACTCAACACAGTCGGGTCCCCTCTGGCCGAATTGGATCAAACCATCTCTCATGTGGGTACTGACGTCACCAACATTGTTACTACCGAACTTTTGGCTGTGGAAGATTATACTACATGGCATACCCATTTGGAGTCTTTTCTTGTGTCGCAAGGTCTTCTGGGCATGGATGATGGCTCTATTCAGGTCCCCCCACCCCGCTTATTTCGTAGATATTTTAAATTGTCAAATTCCCAATCCCGAATATTCTACTTGATTGCGAATTGATCAAACGATTCTTTCGTGGTTGTTTGCAACTCTTTCTCGTGATGTTCTTATTGATGTTCGAGATTTAAAACATTCTTGTGAAATTTGGGAACGGTTAGAATCTTGATTCATGTATGCTAGTTTAGCTAGATCTATGGAATTAAAGCGTCTGCTATCTCAAATTAAAAAGAAACCTGATCAGTCTATGGATAATCATTTGAGAGAGATTAAAATTTTGGTTGATGATCTTGCCACTATTAACTGCCCATTCCTCCGCGTTGTGAAAGACATTAGAATATACTTTAGAATATACTTTAGAATATTCTTCTATCCTTAGAATATACTTTAGAATATTTTAGGAATATACTCTAGGATATTATTATTGTATAGAATCTTATAGGAATATTCTATCTTTGTAATGTATATTTATAGGGACTTAACCCTCCAATGAAATACACAGAAAATCATTCTCTTCTCATTACTATTCTATCCTTAATTCCGATAACATGGTATCAGAGCATATCTGTTCCATTTTAGCTTAGTTTCCATTTTTATTCTTTTCTTTCAGAACCTCAGTTCACAGAACATCAGCCTATACCAACCCCAGAACCTTAGTCCAGAACCTTAGTCCAGAACCCATCTCACCTTCACCCTACACTAGTGCGCCTTCTTCCGGCGACCAGACAGTGGGAATCCGCGCGTCCCAATCACCGCGAGTGACCTACACGCGTCACCTTAAAGGCTCGCAGCTTGCGCACGCGCCGGCGCATGACGACGACCGTCTGACCGGAGCTTCGAACGGAAACCCTCTCCAGACTCGTCGGGACTTCCTCTAGCAACACCCAGGTACACTTCTTCATAATATTGGAAGTCTGCTTCACGCTTTCAACACTAGGCGTGGATACAGTAAGTTTTTTTTCCCACCATTCATGACGTCCTGGTGCTAGGCGGAAGGGCTGTGTTCTAACTTGCACCATAAACGAAAAAGGCTGTAAGTTCATTTAAAGTTTTATTTCTGAGAAAAAAAAATTACAAAAAAAAAATGCCTGGTTCTGACGCCGATAGCTCTGCAGTAACACAAAGTCGGCCTTTGATAGTTTATGAAGTTATTCCCATTAATTTTAAAATTACTGAGAATAAACTTTGTGGCTCCAATTATCTTGAATGGAGTAAAACTATCAAACGTTATTTAAAGAGCATTGATAAATATACCCACTTAGTTGATGACCCGCCAAAGGAGGAAGTTGATAAAGCTGCTAATGATGCCTGGCTTCGTGATGATTCAAGATTATTTATCCAGATTCAGAACTCCATGGAGAACGACATCATGGGGTATGTTAGTCATTGTGATATTGTGAAAGAACTGTTTGATTATTTGGAATTTATGTATTCAGGCAAAGGTAATCTTAATCACATCTATGAGGTGTCCAAAGCCTTTTACAGAGCAGAAATGAAAGATAAGCCTCTCATGGCTTATTTTATGGATTTCAAGAAAACTTATGAAGAGCTTAATGCATTAATGCCATTTAGTCCTGATATCAAAGTGCAGCAGAAACAACGAGAACAAATGGCGGTTATGAGTTTTTTGGCTGGTCTTACGACTGATTTTGAAACAGCCAAATCACATATCTTGTCTGGTGATGCGGTCTCTTCTCTTCAAGATGCTTTCAGTAGAGTTCTTCGCACTGACACTTCATCCACATCACCAGCACCTCAACCAAGCAATGCTTTTGTAGGGCAGGTCCCAAAGAAGGTGAGAAATGGCCACGCACTGGATCGATTGGCAAAGGAGTAGTATGCAACTACTGTAAGAAACCCGGACACTTGATCAAAGATTGTCGAAAACTAAAGTTCAAAAATCAAGGAAATCAAGTTGCTCACATTGCTTCCGCTACACAGCCATCTGATGGCTCCATCATTATGTCTTCTGAGGAATACACCAAATTTCTTTGCTACCAGGAGGCTCTAAAGCATTCATCTACTCCTATCTCAGCTGTCGCTAATTCAGGTAATCCAAACACATGTCTTGTGTCTTCATCCTCAAAATGGGTTATCGATTCACGGGCAACAGATCATATGACAGGTAATCCTGGTCTTTTTTCCTCATTCCACACACCTCTTCATACTTCTAGTGTTACTTTGGCTGACGGATCTACGTCACCAGTTCTTGGAACGAGTACAATTGTCCCAACATCTACCTTACCTTTGTCACCCGTCCTAAGTCTTCCAAATTTTGCTTTTAATTTGATTTCGATCAGCAAAATCACACGTAATCTTAATTATTCTGTAACATTTTTTCCTGGATATTGTGTATTTCAGGATCTGTTGACGAATCGGGTTATTGGTAAAGGATATGAGTCGGCTGGTCTCTATCTCTTGGATACATCCATCCCTAAATCCATCTCTTGTCTTGGAGTTGGAACTGTGTTAGAGGCTCACTATCGACTAGGACATCCCTCTCTCCCGTTGTTAAAGAAACTTCATCCTCAATTTAATAAGGTGTCATCTTTACAGTGTGATTCATGTCAATTTGCAAAACATCATCGAACTAGTTTAAGTCCCCAAGTCAATAAACGAGCACACGCTCCTTTTGAACTTGTTCATTCTGATGTTTGGGGCGCTTGCCCTGTTGTGTCCAAAACTAGTTTTAAATATTTTGTTACCTTTGTTGATGACTATTCTCGTATGACTTGGATATATTTCATGAAACATCGTTCTGAGTTATTCTCTCATTTTTGTGCCTTTTGTGTTAAAATTAAAACTCAATTTAATGTACCTGTTCGTATTTTAAGGGGAGACAATGCTCAAGAATATTTGTCAACCTCATTTAAGTTGTATATGGCTCACAATGGCATAATTCATCAAACTTCATGTGTAGACACACCTCCCCAAAATGGAGTTGCTGAACGAAAGAACAGACATTTATTAGAAACTGCGCGGGCACTTCTGTTCCAAATGAATGTGCCTAAACATTTCTGGGCGGATGCTGTGTCTACCGCATGTTTTTTGATAAATAGAATGCCATCTACTGTGTTGGATGGTAAAACTCCATATCAGTGCCTATTTCCAAATATTGAACATTTTCCTATCCCTCCTAAAATATTTGGTTGCATTTGTTTTGTCCGAAATGTTAATCCTCATTTAACAAAATTAGATCCCAAGTCATTAAAGTGCATTTTCTTAGGCTACTCTCGAGTTCAAAAGGGTTATAGATGTTTTTGTCCAAGTACGGGTCAATATCTTGTTTCAATTGATGTCTCCTTTTATGAAAATACACCTTTTTCATCAACAGAGACAAATATTTGTAGGGAGAATGATGACATACTCATTTACACAGTCACTATACCCGAGTCCACTGCTTCAGCCATTGTTCCACATGTTACTTTTCCTGAGCCTAAGCCCCCAGTACACTTGGTATACACCCGTCGAAACAAAGTACAAGATCACCCTCCACCTGTGGTTACCTATCCTAATATTGATCCGATCTCGCTCTCATGTCCTAAACCGATACCTGCATCTCCAGATCCTGCCTCTACATCAGATCTTGACCTCCCTATAGCACTTTGTAAAGGTACACGGTCTTGTACTCATCCTATTTCTTCATTTGTGTCGTATAATCAGTTATCATCTGCCTCATGTTCTTTTATTGCTTCCATTGATTCTATTTCTGTTCCCAAATCTGTTAAAGACGCTTTGTCTCATCCTGAATGGCGTCATGCCATGGTAGAGGAAATGAATGCTTTGGATCTTAATGGTACTTGGGATTTGGTAGACTTGCCTCCAGGAAAGAAATCTATTGGATGTAAGTGGGTCTTCGCTGCAAAGGTTAACCCTGACGGATCCGTTGCTCGGTTGAAAGCCCGATTAGTGGCAAAAGGGTTATGCTCAAACCTATGGTGTCGATTATTCTAACACATTTTCTCCTGTTGCTAAATTAACATCTGTCAGGTTACTTATCTCTCTCGCTGCAACTAATGGTTGGCACTTACACCAGTTGGACATTAAAAATGCATTCTTGCACGGTGATCTTCAGGAGGAAGTTTATATTGAGCAACCTCCGGGATTTGTTGCTCAGGGGGAGTATGGAAAAGTGTGTCCACTTCGCAAGTCTCTTTATGGTTTGAAACAGAGTCCCCGTGCATGGTTCGGAAAATTCAGTCAATCAATTGAACGTTTTGGAATGATAAAAGGCAAATCAGATCACTCTGTATTTTACAGACAAACGAAAGCAGGTATCACATTGCTTGTGGTGTATGTCGATGATATTGTGATTACAGGGAGTGATAATGCAGGTATTTTGGCCCTTAAGAATTTTCTTCATAGTCAATTCCAGACAAAAGATTTGGGCTCATTAAAATACTTCTTAGGGATTGAGGTTACAAGGAGTAAGAAAGGCATATTTCTATCTCAGCGTAAATATGTGCTTGACTTGCTAACTGAAACAGGGAAATTGGGGGCAAAGCCGAGCAATACTCCCATGATTCCTAATGTGCTGCTCACTCATGAAGGTGTGCCATTCGAAGATCCAGAAAGATACAGAAGGTTGGTTGGAAAGCTTAACTATCTCGCAGTTACCCGTCCAGATATTGCCTACTCAGTCAGTGTAGTAAGTCAATATATGTCATCTCCGACAGTTGATCATTGGAATGCAGTAGAGCATATATTATGTTACTTGAAGGGGACACCAGGACGAGGTATTGTTTATCAAAATCATGATCACATGAGAATAGAATGCTTTGCAGATGCTGATTGGGCTGGATCTAAAGTTGATAGGAGATCCACATCTGGCTATTGCGTCTTTGTTGGTGGTAATCTCGTCTCTTGGAAAAGTAAGAAGCAAAATGTGGTTTCTCGTTCGAGTGCTGAATCAGAATATCGGGCTATGGCACAATCGGCATGTGAGATAATCTGGATAAACCATTTGCTGAGTGAAATCGGATTGAAGACACCAATGCCTGCTAAACTCTGGTGTGATAACCAAGCTTCTATACACATTGCCAACAACCCAGTGTTTCATGAGAGAACAGAACATATTGAGGTCGATTATCACTTTGTTCGAGAAAAGATACAACAAGGATTGATCTCTACAAGATATGTGAAGACTGGAGAGCAACTTGGAGATTTGTTCACTAAATCATTAAATGGAATTCGTGTTGGTTATTTATGTAACAAGTTGGGCATGATAAATAGCTATGCTCCAACTTGAGGGGGAGTGTGAAAGACATTAGAATATACTTTAGAATATACTTTAGAATATTCTTCTATCCTTAGAATATACTTTAGAATATTTTAGGAATATACTCTAGGATATTATTATTGTATAGAATCTTATAGGAATATTCTATCTTTGTAATGTATATTTATAGGGACTTAACCCTCCAATGAAATACACAGAAAATCATTCTCTTCTCATTACTATTCTATCCTTAATTCCGATAACACGCGTGAACGGCTGAAATCCACTATTATGGGGTTGGGACTTGAGTATGAGTGTTTGTTCACGACAGTGTCTTTATTTCCTCAAAATTTTCCCTTTGAGACACATCGTACTCATCTTCTTGAGCAAGAGCAGCGAGTTCTTTACCAGGGGTCCCAGGAGCCCCCTCTTTGCACCAGGCATTCGATGCTCATGTTCCGCAGCTCGGGCAACAGACTGGTCAGCAGCTGGGCATCCAGTAAGTGCAGTGCCCTCAAGCTTATCCACCGTGTGGCCGAGGCGGACGAGGCCGGGGTGGCAGAGGCCGCAATGTCCATGGGTGTGGTCGCAGTCATCAACCGGCTCATTACGGTCAGCTGGTAGTTTGGTATCCGCTGCAGGGTCAACCGCCAGTTTATGCAGCCGCGGGGTGGTGGTGGTCTGGTTCCAGGTGGGTATACTCCACATGCAGGGGGTGTGCCTCCAACAGGTACTGTCATTTGTAATTCTACTGTGTCACATTTAAATATTAATGCATTACCTATTTGTGCTACTAACCCTGGTTCCGCAGGCTTGCCATTAGATGAGGGTATTCTTGGGCAAGTTCCTCATCCTGTTGTGTGTCAAATTTGTTTTTCTGCAGGTCACTCTGCTATTGCTTGTCCCTCTCGTTTCACACAGTCGTCTGCTCCTGCTTTGTTGACTACCTCTGGTGAATCTAATTTTGCATTATGGTATCCCGATTCAGGAGCTTCTGCCCTTATGACAACATAAGAAGGTATTATAATTAATAAATCTACTTACTCTGGCTCTACATCAGTTAGTGTTGCTAATATATGGTGCCCATTTACCCATTTGTCATGTTGGTGATGTTGCATTACCTTAATCTCGTCACCCCCTTACATTGAAATATGTTTATCATGTGCAACAGTTAAAGTATAATTTCATTTCTATTCAAAAACTATGCGCTGATAACAACTGTATTGTCATTTTTTTTTATAAAAAATCATTTTTTATGTTAAGGACAAAACCTTTAACCTTCGGGGCGGTGCTTCTGCGAGCTACCAGTAGTGGGCCACTCTATCCTCCCAGTCTGCCGTCATCTCCTCTAGCATTAGCATCGAATTTTTGCCGTTTTTGGCCCTCGACTATTATGTCAATGACACTTTTGGTACCCGACTTCTAATTTTTCCATTTTTAGTCCTTTACTATTGTGCTAGAGACACTTTTAGTCCCCGACTTTAAGATTTCTCACATTTAGTCCCTGAGTATTGTCCAATTGACACTTTTAGTCATCTCACTATGATTTCGACACAATAAATGGAGGACTAAAAATGTCATTGTTGTAACAATTGAAGGATAAAAAATGTCACTTTTATGAAAGTTGAAGGACTAAATATGGAAATTTTCAAAGATGGGTATCAAAAGTGTCTCTAGCGCAATAGACAAGGACTAAAAATGGAAAAAATCAAAGTCGAGTACCAAAAGTGTCAATGACATAATAGTCGGAGGACTAAAAGTGGAAAAAACTCCATTAACATCTGTTTCAACTTCTGGCTCTATGTGGCATCGTAGACTAGGTCACTGCGGTGAAAAAATTTTGCAGTTTCTTAGGAGTCAATTTTTTAAGTAATAGCTCTAGTTTTAGCCATGCTTGTGTTTCTTGTTGTTTAGGAAAATCACAATGTTTGCCCTTTACGGGTGCTAGTCACAATTGTTCTCTTCTCTCACAAATTATTCATTTTGAAGTGTGGCAATCTCTAGTTTGTTCTAATTTGGGTTTCAACTATTACGTTTGCTTTATTGATGATTATTCTCGTTCTACTTGGATTAATTCCATGTGCCGTAAAAGTGAGGATTTTTTACAAGAATATTACTAAAACAAAACTTATTTACATAAATATAACTATTCATTACTATAAGGTGATGTTGTAGTAACTTAAGTTCAAAACTTGAACATGAATTACTATGATTTCATTACTACTCTAGTAACTAATCATATTTTTGTAAACTATCTTTATTTTGGTCATATTCATGTAATTATTTCCTTTTTAATCAGAAAATTAAAAATTTTCAAAGTGACGAGGGAGGTGAATTTGTTAATCATGATTTGCATCAATTGATCTCATCTCATGGCACACCTCAACGGAATGGGGTTGCTGAAAGCAACATGGTCATCTCCTAGAATTAACTTGGTCCACTACGGGTTTTGCGGTATTT